CACTATGATAGGAGTAGTGGTATGAGCGGTCACTATGCTGAAAGTAGTAGTAAGAGATGTCACCAAGCTAGAAGTTGTGGTATGAGCTGTCACTATGCTAGGAGTAGTGGTATCAGCTGTCACCATGCTCGAAATAGTGGTATGAGCTACCACTATGCTAGGAGTAGTGATATAGCTGTCACTTGCAAGAAGTAGTGGTATGAGCTGTCACTATGCTAGGATTAGTGGTATAAGCTGTCACCATGCTGAAAGTAGTGGTATGAGCTGTCACTATGCTAAGAGTAGTGGTATTAGCTGTCACCATGCAGGGAGTAGTGGTATGAGCTATCACTATGCTAGGAGTAGTGGTATGAGCTGTCACCATGCTAAAAGTAATGGTATGAGCTGTCACTCTGCTTAGAGTAGTTGTATGAGCTGTCACTATGCTAGGAGTAGTGGTATGAGCTGTCACCATGCTTTAAGTAATGGTATGAGCTGTCACTATGCTAGGAGTAGTTGTATGAGCTGTCACTATTGTAGAAGTAGTGGTATGAGCTGTCACTATGCTAGAAGTAGTGGTATGAGCTATCACTATACTAGGTGTAGTGGTATGAGCTGTCAGTATGCTAGAAGTAATGGTATGAGCTGTCACTATGCTAGAAGTAGTGGTATGAGCTATCACTATGCTAAGAGTAGTTGTATGAGCTGTCACTATGCTATGAGTAGTGGTATGAGTTGTCACCATGCTAGGAGTAGTGGTATGAGCTTTCACTATGCTAGGAATAGTGGTATGAACTGTGTCTATTCTATGAGTAGTGGTATGAGCTGTCAGTATGCTAGAAGTAATGGTATGAACTGTCACTATGCTAGGAGTAGTGGTATGAGCTGTCACTATGCTAAGACTAGTGGTATGAGCTGTCACTGTGCTAGGAGTAGTGGTATGAGCTGTCACTATGCTAGGAGTAGTGGTATGAGCTGTCACTATGCTAGGAGTAGTGGTATGAGCTGTCACCATGCTATGAGTAGTGGTATGAGCTGTCACTATGCAAGGAGTAGTGGTATGAGCTGCCACTATGCTAAGAGTAGTGGTATGAGCTGTCACTATGCTAGGAGTAGTGGTATGAGCTGTCACTATGCTAGGAGTAGTGGTATGAGCTGTCACCATGCTATGAGTAGTGATATGAGCTGTCACTATGCTAGGAGTAGTGGTATGAGCTGTCACCATGCTATGAGTAGTGATATGAGCTGTCACTATGCAAGGAGTAGTGGTATGAGCTGTCACCATGCTAGGAGTAGTGGTATGAGCTGTCACCATGCTAGGAGTAGTGGTATGAGCTGTCACTATGCTAGGAGTAGTGGTTTTTGCTGACACTATGCTAGAAGTAATGGTATCAGCTGTCACTATGCTAGGAGTATTGTTATGAGCTGTCTCTGTGCTAGGAGTAATGGTATGAACTGTAACGATATCAGGAGTTTAGTTAGTTCTCTGGTCGTTTGTTTAGTAAACTCAGTAAAATGTGTTGTTTGTACTTCATATCTATTAAATTAATGTCGTTTTGCCTCGACACATTATACTCGACATCAATCAAACATCAGAACAGAGCAACATGAATGCCACTAACGGTAATAAACAGTCGATGCTTGAATAAAAAAAAATATATGACGGTCACGTGACCAAAATGACTGGACAAAGGGCTGTTTGTAGAATGACAAATTTACTACCCGTATTCAACGTTTAATCGAATATTTACTCACTTGTCAAATATCTTTATTTGCAATAAAATAAACTACTCGATTGTCAGTCAGTCAGTCTATTATTGGTGTAACATAACGTTGCCAGCATGACGTATTCTAGTGACGTGCGGTTGGAAACTTGGGATTATGTAGTAATATGCTGCTATTTTGCTCTTGTTTTCGCTGTTGGAATATGGGTAAGTGGTTAACTTGTGGGTAGATTTAGAGAGGGAGAGCAGTAAAGTAGTGTAATTCAGTGACATTGTCTGACACCATGGCAACTCAACGTAGTTAAGTATGTAATGATACAGCAGATTATTGCCATACCGTCTTTCTTTTTTTGTGGCAACTTTCTGAAAATATATTTTCACCCAAATCATTTTTTGATGACTAACTTTTTGTCACATTATGTTTATTTCAGTCCATGTGTCGAACCAGTCATGGTAATGTGGGTGGTTATTTCTTGGCCGGTAGGAACATGTCGTGGTGGCCTGTAAGTCAACATATACTATTCACGAGGAACTCGTCAACGTCACAACCAGGGACAAAAAACTCTACCGCCCACAACGTCATTGTAAACTCGTTTTCAGCTATAAAGTTTATCTTTAGTACACTTTGGGATTTTCGTTCACTATAGATTCGAAGTCTAGAGTCGTTGTCAAGACGTGCACAATCTTCATTTCTTCATGTTCTGTGCAGTACCGAGCATACCTGCGCTCGCTGGGCAATAGCTTACCGCCATTGTATATTATACCGAAAACAATTCTGTCGCATGTTTTGTTGTTATTGTGGTCGGGATCAGCTAGTGTCAACGTGATTCGCCAGTTATGCATAACTTCACATCGAAATTAATACGTAACAGAATTACCACATATCGATGTCGATAACCATCTCGAACTGTGAAAAGGGCACGGTGGATGATGATAAAATGCTTTTATTTGCAGGTGGGTTTGTCCTTGTATGCTAGTAACATTGGTAGCGAACACTTCATTGGATTGGCTGGTAAAGGGGCAGCTTCCGGTATTGTTTCTTACCTATTCGAAATAAATGTAAGAACTCGTGAAATTATAGTGCATTGCTATGTAATATTAAAATGAATATACATGTTTTTAATTTATGTAATATCGAGCAAAATGAAAGATATTTGAGATATGCGAACACGCGTGGTTCTATGTTACGTAATAGCTGTATTATTTCGTGTTGTAAAAAAATTAAATAAATAAATATATCATTCGAATATATACTAAAAAGCCGAACAACAAGAACCGCTAGACAAAACAGTCTACATTCGACATCTTAATACGCGATGTTTTAATCTTAATGACAGATTTCTATTTCTATGTTTGCAGGCAATATTTTGTTTGTTAATGTTAGGCTGGGTGTTTCTACCTGTCTACATTTCCAGCGCCGTGAGTACATTGCTAATTCGATTTTCCCTAATATTTCATTAATGTTGTTCCGATTTCGTGACGTCTTCATGCAAACTGACAATGTATTGACATGCATAATAATGTTCCGTTTCAGGTATATACGATACCCGAATATCTAAAGAAGCGGTTTGGACGCCAACGTCTTCGAGTTTGCTTGACGATATACGCGTTAGTGATTTATATTTTCTTGAAAGTATCGGTAAGTGGAAACGTTTCAAAGGTCGTTAGACGGTTCATAGGTCAGTAACGCAAATAGTATGTATAGTTAGTATGATTTATAGTTATATACTAAATACACATAGATATTGTTTGCATGTCACTTTGTACATACAGCAATGAGTGAGATGATTTATGGTTGTCAACTACAATGAGCGATAGCTTATGTATTAACACTGCAACTTTTGAATGTAGTTCATGGCCGAAGTAACTTATTAATAAAAAAAACACAAGACAGAAGCCTGCCAACTAAAATACTTTGTTAAAGCATTGTTCGATATTGAATGGTGTCACTTTTTGTGGATATTACTCAACAGCCGTTTTTTATGGTATCCGTTGTCTGCATCACTAACACCACTGACAATAGTTACCATTTTGTTAAAATAACAACAAATGTACAGTATTTGTCAAATAATTTGCGTAAACATTATTGGTCTTCGTGTTGCGTTTAACTAACAAACCGTTGTTTTTGGTACAATTTTAATTTCAGGTAGATATATATGCTGGCGCTATATTCATTCAACAAGCCTTGAGATGGGATTTGTATCTTTCCATTGCTTTTATACTCGGGGTCACTGCACTATTCACTGTGGCGGGTGAGTTGGTCATGTGGTGGCGCACGTCTTGACCGAGTTAGATTGATTTCGAACGAACGACACAAATTTCCAACATGACGGAAAACTTTCAGAAGTTTGTAACATAATAGTTAGAACCAAGATTTTCAACACCTTTGTTGACGAAAAATATTCCAATGATGTTCTTTTTTATTGATTTATGTGAAGACATAATATTAGGTTTATAATAACACATTTATTTCTCTAGGGGGATTGTCCGCTGTCATATACATGGATTCTCTGCAAAGTTTCATAATGGTTGGTGGCTCTATTGCGTTGTCTGTCTTAAGTAAGTTGAATGTTGCCAAGCAACATGCAATAACAAATGTCGCTCACTGATCGATACTAATATGTGATTCATAGAAATCTCCCTGATAATAACAGTTTTTACCTGTTACCTGTATTATCATAAATACCAATTATTGTTATCTTTATTGGCATAGTATATGCTGCCATAACGTAGTATTTTGCAATCTTAGAACAAATAAGAACGTTATTAACTATGGAGGATGAATCGCGTTGTTGTAATGATGTGGGGGCATTACTTGATAATATCCTTCGAATAATAAGTATTGTAAATAAATGTTTATTTATTTATTTATTTATTTATTTAAATATTTTATAAATAAATATGAAATTATTATGAATAACAAATTACGCAATAATTACAAATAACACCAGTCAATATTTTGCAATGGGTTGTATCAGACTTTTAGTTTTAATGTAAATTGTATTTAGGGAAAACAATGTCAGTGAGGCAGTTTTATTTTCAACAGTAATTATATATGGTTCTTAAAAGCATATTTTGGCTAATTATAGAAATATAATTACCAAATTGTGAATGCCAGTGGGTAAAAGAATGTAATCAATTTACGAACGAGTTAGTTGTTTACTTATAATATAAAAACGATCGATTGTTTAGAACGGTGTCTGTCCCGTCGAGGAGGTGACCTTCCGCTCTAAGGTGATTCGTGACAAATTGGTTAAACATAGTATAGTGAACAGTATGTGCATTATTCATCTATTCAGGAAAATTCTAAGCTGACAAAATCAATATTGAGAAAAAATGTTGGTGAATAAATAGTTACGTATAGACCGTTACATGGTAATGTCATTTGCGTACGTTATTGAAAACCAACATAGTGTAAAATGGTTATGCTATGATACTTCCACTTCGTATGCATCATATTGATATCCCATAATGTTGATTTATTCAGTAGTTTACCATTTTAAAGGGCGTAGTCGTCGCGCCACGCATGCGCGAGATTTTACTCTTGCGCAGATCAACGAGTACAAACTGTGAAGTTACCAAGCTTTAATTAAGTTTTTTTTAGGTGATTGGAAGGTATCGAAGCCCGGGGGCATTTGATACATAACTGGGTAAGGAGGTGCTCCCGAGTGCTCAAAAGTGTAACCATTATTATACTACCTGGATAGTGGCAAAATCTATACCCATATTTATACCAAAGCCTCCCTAATAGAAGCACATGTAAGCCAACAGTTGCATTGTATATTGTTTTATTAAAATATGTATTTTGACCATAGAAACACATCTATCAATTACATAAGTTTACCAAATCGGAAAAATATTACCGATATTCTTACCTATCTTGAACAGAAATAAGACCGATACTTACATCTAAAATCCAAAAAAACGAGACCCATTTCAGGGACACGTCCCCATTAGGCAAGTTCTATGTATTGCTCCCTCCCCGGGTATCGAAATAGTCACCGGCGGTAATTACTGCAAGTTCCGTCCAGGGCAAACCTCATACTTGCGATTGGATTATGGGTAAATCAATGTTTATCCACAGGGAGTTGGACAAACTTATGTATTTTAATAAATTATTAAATAATAAGTTGTTATAAAACTTTTCTTTTACCTCTCCCCTTCCTGGTATCGATTTCAAGTAAGCACTGATCCTTGTTTATACCACTCTTTCCTTTAACACAACTTTGTTACGCGTTAATGTTATATGCAAATTTTAACGCGCGATGTAGACACGCCCTATTATAGTAAAATATCCCAAGGGTTGAAACGCGCCAGGACTGTGGCATGAGCACAACCGTAAAGCCAGTGGGCATTTAATTTATTCATGAGATGCATTAATAAACAAGAAATGCTGCGCGCGATTTTTTTTTAAATCCGGCGAGTGTAAACTTCAATGAATCAGTGACTCTTCTGTAAAATGGTTTCTACTTCAAATGTCGTTCGCGTTGTTCTTCGAGATCTTTCTAATGAAAATAATCAACAATTCATTGGGAAATTGTTCGTTTCTGATCATGTGACAACAATAGATAGAGGTCAAAGATCGCAACATCCGGTTTCC